ACAAAATTTGTCGATAAAAAAGCGGATTTTCTGCCAACTTTTCTAGGGCCCATTCACTGAAAATTCGACGTTGTGGCAGATCGTTCGGCTTCAGTTCTTGCACGAGCTGTATTTTATACGGTTTTACACCAAGATCTTTGCGTAAAATCTTCCATGTGGTCGAATAACACAAACCCAATTGCTGCGAACGGCGACGAATCGACATTTCACGGTCTTCAGCAACACTCTCAGAAACAGACGCAATATTCTCTTCTGTACGCACTGTACGCATTCGTGTGGTTGGTTCAATGTCCAATAAAGTAAACTGAGTGCGAAACTTGGTCACAATCGCATTAATTGTTTGCTCACTTGGTCGATTATGTAGACCATAAATCGGACGTAAAGCGCGAAACACATTTCGAACCGAACACTGATTTTGGTAATAAAATTCAATGATTTGCAAGCGTTGCTCGTTAGTAAGTCTATTCATGATGAAATGTCAAAGCATACTGAGCATCTTTCTCTTTGACACCATGTCTGAAATCCCACGTGATCTGTCAAATACTAATGCATGAAAATCCTAACCTCAAAAAAATCACCCGTTACAATCACTTACGGAAGGAGGAACACTCAACGCAAAACAACGAAGCATCAAAAGCAACAACAATACCCATTGATACACTTAAATATATATTTACCTACATACACATACATACATACTTAAATAACTTAAGCGGTTTCGTTGTCAATAGTCACAAAGCCAAAGTCAAGCCGCAATCATGTATGGCATGGTTCTTGAGTCCGTTCAACATTTCATTCAAGAGGAATTTGGTGAAGATATTTGGCGGCAAGTATGCCAAATTATCGATTGCCGCCACAATACCTTCAAAACGCATCAGATATATCCGGACACACTAATGCCCGATATAGCTGCCGCATTGTCTGCGCTTACGGGGAAATCTTTCGATTGGTGTATGTCCTTCTTTGGCAATTGCTTTGTGCGCTTCTTCACCAACTTCGGCTATGATAAGATGATACGTGCGACGGGTCGCTATTTCTGTGATTTTTTACAGTCCATCGATAATATACATCTCCAGATGCGTTTTACATATCCGAAAATGAAAAGCCCCTCAATGCAGCTAACAGAGGTAGATGATGATGGTGCGGTGATGGTGTATCGCAGCGGACGTACAGGGTTTTCGAAATACTTGATGGGCCAGTTGACGCAAGTAGGACGCGAATTCTATAATTTGAATGTAAAGTGTTCGGTGATTGAAAGTCAAAATGACATAAATGGTGGTATTGCTGGGCCCATTAAATTAAGCCACGAACCATTGACGGTGATTGTGAAATATCGTTTGGACTTTGATAATCGGGAATATATGGCAAAGCGTGTTAATGTCGTGGCCCATCCAACGCAACAAATATTACCAAAAGTCAATATTGACATATTTCTAGATCTTTTCCCCTTCACTGTTTTACTCAATCGTGATATGGTCATTTCGTCGGCAGGTGAAAAAATCGTTGATACTTGGATACTTCATAACCAGGGCAAGAGCCCCTCCCAGTTTCTTGGCTCTCATCTCATGGACATTTTCAGATGCCGCCGTCCCAAGGACATCAAGATCAGTTGGGATCAAATTATACAAATGCGTTATGTGCTTTTTGAATTCGAACTATTGCGCACTGGCCGCAATCAGGCAGCTTACGATGCGCTTATGGATCACAATTTAGAAAAGGAGGTGAATGAAGTTTTGAATAGTAGTGAGGAAAACTTGTTGAATGTCGACGCGAAGGAAGATATCGATCCACTAACTGGTAAACGTAAAATTTCACATGGCAACAAGGCGATATTATTGAAAGGCCAAATGTTTCACCTCAAAGACATCGATTCACTTATTTATCTGTGCAGTCCACTCATCGAAAATTTGGATGAGCTGCATGGCATTGGCCTATTCCTGAATGACTTGAACCCGCACGGCCTGAGTCGTGAGTTGGTAATGGCCGGCTGGCAGCATTGCTCCAAATTGGAAATAATGTTCGAGAAGGAAGAGCAACGCTCTGATGAATTGGAAAAATCATTAGAACTTGCCGACTCATGGAAACGTCAAGGTGATGAGTTGCTCTACTCCATGATACCGCGTACAATCGCCGAACGTATGCGTAACGGCGAGGAGGCTATTTGTCAGTCTTTCGAGGAAGTCTCTGTCATATTCATAGAAGTAATGAACATCTATGCTGGCGATACGAATGATATACGCGATGCCATGACAGCAGTAACTACATTAAATACCGTTTTTTCCGCATTCGACCAAGAAATAATTTCACCATTTGTATATAAAGTGGAGACGGTGGGCATGGTTTATATGGCTGTTTCGGGCGCCCCCGATATAAATCCATTGCATGCAGAGCATGCAGGTGACTTCGCTTTGCGTGTTGTAAAGAAGGTCAAAGCTTTAGAGATACCCGACCTGGCTATAAGGGTGGGCATAAATTCGGGTCCTGTGGTGGCGGGTGTAGTGGGATTGAAAGTGCCGCGTTATTGTCTCTTCGGGGACACAGTGAATAC